ACAGCTCTTCACACCCCACGTCCTGCAAGGACTCCATCCCATTCTCCCAGTTCCTTCGCCCACGTGGTATCTGTTTGGATGATGTCACCTTCTAAAACAACGCTGCTGATACAGCTTCCTTCTTCCATATCCGGGGTTTCCCACCCACTGTGGTTGGTAGGTCCTTGAACCATATCTGACCCATCGCCCCTGCATCTGCCCTTGCTCCTTCCCATCACTCACAACAGTGTGATCGAGAACCCCTTGTTCTCTCTTTTCATCCCATCAGCCTGCACACTCTAATGATTATTCTTCACTGTTTCAGACAACTCCAGCAGAACGCCACCAGCAAACACATCTTTCCTTCACTCCCCCATCTGCATTTTGCTCTGGGACACCCCAGTCCATTCCACAACCACCAACACCAACTCCCCACCTCGCCACGGCACCTTCCCATGTAACCACAGAAGGTGCAACACTTGCCCCTTCACCCCCTCCCTGCTCACCATCCAAGGGCCTAAACAGTCTTTCCAAGTGAAGCAGCCCTTCACCTGTACCTCCTCCAATCTTGGCTATTGTATTTGCTGCACCCAATGTGGCCTACTCTACACTGGAGAAACTAAATGTAGACTGGGTGACCGCTTTGCAGAACACCTCAGTCTGTGTGCAAGCAGGATCCCAACCTTCCTGTAGCTGGTTATTTCAACACAGCATCCTGCTCGCATGCCCATGCTCAAGTGTTCCAGTGAATCACAGCACATATTGGAGGGACAAGATCTCATCTTCAGACTAGGCACTTTACAGCCTTCTGCACTTAATATTGAGTTCAACACCTTTAAATTATGAACCATTTATTCCCTTTCCTTTAGCTTGTTATTATGTCCTCCCCTCCCCCCATCCCAGTTATTGTCCTTTCAAGTCTGGTGCGAGACAAGCCATAGTTCTGCGATCCTCACATTCCCATCACTTAATCTGAACTATCAACATGTCTTCTCCACCAGCACCCTACACCCACTACTTTCCCCCTCTCCCACCTGGCGTTCCCTCCATATTTCATCATCTCTGATGAAGAGTCATCCAGACCAAAACGGCAGCTTGCTCTCTCTCTTTGGATACTGTCTGACCCGCTGTGATCTCCAGCAATTGTTTTTAGTCATAATGTCACTGAACAGGCTGATGAGGTAAATATCTAAAACCGACCCTGTCCCACCCTACACCCCCACCCTGCCCCAACACCCCAGAAGCTCAGATTGTCTGTTTTACCCCAACAGACTGTTCCGGATCAGTTGAAATTTCCCAAAAACTAAACACAGGGAAGACCAAAACCCAGAGGCTGGTGGACACCTGGAACTCACTGCCTGTGGGGTGGGGGAGCAGAGACAGAAACCCTCATAATATTTAAGTAGTATTTAGATGTGCACCTACAATACCAAGGCTATGGGCCAAGTGCTGATAAGTTGGGATTAGAATTGTTAGGTTGTTGTTTTTGACCAGTGCAGATGTAATGGAGCAAAGGGCCTTGTTTTGTGATCCTCTCTATGCCATTATTTATGGTGGGCACCTTAAATTTCATTCCCTCGATACCAACACCATTCCTGTCCCCAGTGACTGGAATAGGTTGAGGTGGAAGCGGACTATTCACTCTTTGGGTTTCATGTTTGATTTTGAGCTGAGCTGCTGAGTTCAATCACCAGCTCCCGACTCCCTCCATC